AGCCATCATAGGCTAATTATTGCTGCTAGACTGTAGTTGGCTATATTTAAAATATTCTTTTCAACACTGGAGTAGAGTTGAGTATCAAAGCAAGGCTTTTTACTAGTAGTTTTGACAGTTTTGTTGCAGAGAAGTGAAAAATGGGATACCGCACTTGCTGAGGAGAAAAAGTTAGCGATGGCCTAACGAGTCACGCAACAACGCAAAACCGATGTCAGCAAGTCGAGGCATATCTATAAGATACTGCAATTTTAGTCTGACGCTGGCATGACCGTCAAGTTATTGTAACTGGAAGCACAACTGAACTGGTAATGTGATAGGTTTGAAAGACAGCAGGTGAACAAAGTTGACAATTGAATGGTACCCAAGAGATGTCAAAAGAACACGGGAATGACCGCCAACCAGACAGAGCATTAGATATCACAGAACTTGGAAGATACGGTGGGCGAATTTAATCTTCGGTATCATTATCCATTTTTTAAAATCCTTTCGTAGACGCTCAAATGACATTTAGCCGGATTTAATGTGCTGGTCCACTAAAGAAGCTAGTAATAGCTATATTTGAAATGCTTTATTGCCGATAAATGAGAAGCAAATTTAGCTCAGTGAATTAAACCCGAAAATAATAAATTTTGTAGAGGAAGAAAACAAACATGATAGAAGTTGTATATATTCTGGAGCAATACCGAAAACCTCTTTAAGCTGGTTGCTGTATCCGAATGCGAAATATCCTTGTTCCGCATTATTATTAAGTTCAGGCTGGCTGGTTCCCTGCAAAAACTGATCAGTATAGTGTTGCTCGTACACGAGTACGGGTGTTTCGGGAAGCCTGTAACTGAGAATGCGCTGTATGAATTACAGGACGTACACGAAAACAAAGAGAAGGCTGAAGACGAAACCATCACATAGTTCCGAAAATCGAAGAATCCGCCCTCGGTAGGATTCTGCACGCCATGCCGCTTCCGGAAGCAACGCGTCCGTTCCATATATGCAGTCCCTAGTACAATTCAGATTTTAAAAGAAGAATCTGACTAAAAAATTTCTTGAAAAGACAACATATTCATTGGACCGGAAAGAAGAATTTGAACCAAGCGCAGCTCCCCTTCCCCTCCCCATATGATCCCTCCTAACTTCATATAAAGATGGCGCACTTTTTTTGATTTTCTTAAAAAACTGAATTTTTAAAACGAGTATAAAAAGGCCATGTTTTTACGAGATGCGCCAGGTTTTTGGAGTAATACTTCATAAAATCGGCAAATACTGGAAACAGTTGCAATAATAGTTGAAACAGTGCTGACTTGATCCAAGCGCCAAGTGGCTGCTTCCAGAAGTGTCCTTCTCGATCCTGCTGTTGGCTGCTATATTCCAGCATCGTTCTGCTCTGCATAGCAACATCACCACGGATCCTAAACTGCGGCTGCACATTGTGTTCTTTACCAAACGACTTACGAATATCCAGCAAAGATCCAGACTAATTGTGTCTTTCGCTTACAACCAGGCATAACTCAGTTATCACGGGGTAGGATTCTCTGATCAATGCTGTTTCATCTTTAGCAGCTTTCTGGGTACAACAATCGGCGATGTACATAAATTTTGCGTAAAATAGTTACAAAATCGCCTGCTCAACCTCCACATATTCGACTGCGCGATTTACAGGTCTAGAGGATTGATTTCGCGCGCACTCCAAACATCATGCTCGCAAAATTTCAGCCGCCAGCTCTTCTGGCCATGAAATTGCAAAATATTAGCGTCAACTTTGCATTTGTCCCATACCTGAGAAGTAAGGGGATTCAATAGATAATTCTAAAGTGGGGAGGAGAAACCACAACAATTTACAAGAAATCTTTCAGACAATCAAAAACTTATTTTAGAATAACTGAAAAGATAACTGCAGAGTTCGCTTAAAGCTAAAAATTCCCTCTCTTGGCAGATAAAATCTAGAAAGCTTTTTATTCACTATGGCAACCAGTTCACAGAACGCAGAAAGGCTACGGGTAGTTCAACCCTAGGAAGTGGTTGCTAAGCTATAGTAAGAGCATGGCCAAATTTTGCGCGCACCATGCTGTCAGCATCATTTACGAAGGGCAAAACCCCTAGGCAAGCGATGCTATTATGTGAAAGGGGGTTTTTTTAGAACATTTCTGCAGATTAATTTTTAACTAAACATGTGGTCGAATTTTTCGATAAGTGAGCAATGTAGTAGCAATTGCTTTTTTAGTTGCTTCATTTTTTAACTACCGAAATGTTACTGTACAAGAATTATGATGCCAAGTGTAAAAACTGAATCAGGAAGAATGTTATATAATCACAGAAAAATTTTTATTCAAAGCTGGAAACCTAGTCCAGCTCGTATGTGTTTCAAAGAGACAGCTATGGAAAATAGCAACTATGGAAAACGACTTAATCTACTTAAAGCTTGATGATAATTGGAGCGGAGGAAATGAATGAGCTATGAAGATAAGTGATTCTGTCCTAGGATGATGGCAAGACCCGAAATCGTGCATGATGCTAATTATCAATGTGATACGGGAATAGC